CGTAGGTCGACAGTATCTATGCACCGCCGTACGGCTAGGCTCAGATTTACGAGTCCTGCGTGCCGCCGGATATTCAACGGCCCATTGGATCGCAGGACCGACCGAAATCGCGTACCGCTAGGCCGGCAGAGCGTAACGGACCGTCGGACAACTTCCTCAAACTAGATACGAGACCACCATGGAGGAGCGGGACTGCCAAGGTAAGCGTCTTTAATCTTTCTGGTGATGAGACACTCTGCTGTCAGGCTTGCATCCCGGAGCTCCCCCCACCAGTTATTTCTCGGACGCCCGCTCCCCGGACTAAAGCGAGGTATACTGCTCCCGGTAACCCGTCCAAGGAGCTGAGTCGGTGGGACTGTCTGGCCGCTGGATATTCCTCCGAGGGCCTCAAACACAAGCATCGCCATCATAACGATGCCGATGGCAGCAACAAGATGCATCACCACTATGATGGAGCCTATTCATCCGGTCCTGCATCCCTGAGTTATCTCGGGCATGAATCGCACCAAGCTTTCCGAGCTGGTTCTCAGAAATCCTCGAGTTTCAGGAAGGTGAGTTTCCAACGTGATAGCGTTACGACTGCGTGAGGCATGGCAAATTCAGCTGCCGGGAGCGGCTTCTCGAATACCCATTCCTACGACGCCAGACATGCCTGTATGGAGCTGGAATCCAGTATCTGGAGGCTCTCCAGCTGCCGCTGTGGTTCTATTGAATCCTGAAGCGCTTCGGGAACTTTCGTGGATGGCCCCCGGTGGTAAGAGGCACGATACCACTTCGAGAGAAGTGGTTTTGGTCCGCTGCCACTCCGGTATGGCAGCTGTACTATCTCACGATCAGAGAATGGGGCGTCTCCTCCGGTCACGATGGTGCAGAATGCCGCTGACTTGTGGCAAATCATTGCTAATTCCTCCACGAAGAAAGACATAGTCAGTACTGGCAGTGGACCGACACCGAGGCTCCAGACCGACGTCTCTTCATCCCCCCTGTGATCTCGGAAGATGTCAGCACTGGTCGGGA